CGGGCCTGGGCACTCTTTTTGCAGGAAATCACAAGAACCTCGGCCGGGCCCAAAAAGGGGTTGTAAGACCAGGCGGCCTGCAGCCGCCCCACCCCTGGCTAGCAGTTGCAGCAACCATTATTGCCTAGTGCCATATAAGTGTGTGTTTTGGCTCTGTGTGTGTGTGTGTGTACTGTGCAACTGTGTGTTTGCGTGTGAAGGAGGTCAATGCATTGGCTCCGGCACTTGACAGCTACGCTCAGCAATGCCAGGGATGGAGCAGCAGCAGCAGCAGCAGCAGCAGGAGCAGGGGCTGCCCAAGCAGGGGAGGAGCTTTAATGCATTTAAAGTCAAAGTTCAGCTTTATAAAATATATATATGCACACATTTCTGATCTATAGCTAGAGCTTAAACACAGCATGATTAAACAATTTATTACCCGTCATTTTGCAATACATTTTGTTTCGGAATTCGAAAACGCCTTGTCTAATGCAAGAGTGAATTTTGTGACAAACCTGAAACACATTTCAATTGAGTTTTCATTAAAAAACACAAAATTGGAAATGAGTTTCTAATCGAATTTTCAGCCAGCAAGCGAGAGGTGGATTTTGCGAAAAAAGTGAAATGCCTGTCAAAGGAATTTCCACCAATTTTCCATGATTGCCAGAGGAACTTCCCGAATATAGGACGGCAACAAGTCTCGAATCATAAAAGTCTCATAAAAAACATTTTTTCGTGTACTTTCATATGTGGTTATATATATATATATATATTTAAACCTAAATAAAGCATGTATTAGTAAATTATAATAACAATTAATTCTATATTAATTCTATATCAAAGTGGTTGGCTTTTTGAATGACAGCAACAGCTGCTGACAGCAATGAAATACAACAACTTAATTAAGCAACTATTAGCGTATTGTGAATCCCAGCTTAACACACACCCCACACACACACACACACACACACACACATGCGCACACACACAAACACACCCAACGCAGAGATCAAGCTGCTCGCTGAATGAATGAAATTCAAGCACAGGATATGCGGCACTTTTGATCGAGATTGAACGGGTTAGACGCTTACTCTTCTTATAGAGAAAACAAAAACAAAAACAAACAAAAAGCGGCTTGGACAACAGCCAAAAAGATCAGAGAGCGGCGACCGATGAATGAAGCGAGGCGAAACTCAAGTAACTCGAGCTGTCTGAAAGGATATACTCGATGGAGCCAAGCAGGATAATTCGAGCCGCCCTGGCTCTGCCGGAGATCAAGCTGAGGTAGAGCTGCTACTTCATGCCATTTTAACTATATATAGGGCAACCGAAAGCCGAAAGTGAGTAAAGCCAGCAACAAAGCATGGCTACTGAACGAAATATGGCTAATCAAAAGCCAACTGCAAGAGAAATCAAAGCTATAAACTAATTGTTGTTGGAAGGAACATTTCCATATGCAGGCCAAATAAGTTTGAGGAATCGAATAATATCCGATCTATAAGCAGTAATTTCTACAGCAAGGCAACATTCAGTATTCGATTGCATCCAATTTCAACTCATTAGCCAGTTTATTCCGGAACAAAAGCCGGAACAGCCCAGGGAATCTATCATCAGATATCCCTTTAATCTCTATCCACAAGAAAACGAAATATAATTATAATGAAATGCATTAGCGTACCTAATGAGAAACTATATAATATACAATACATATTTAAATGGAATAATATACCAGATGGAAAGCATTTCATTTTCATTTGGACAATAATAAAATAGAAAAGGAAAACCTGTTGGAGAGCAAGCATAATATACTATTAAGAGAAAAGTAATCAAAGTAATAAAAATACGACTTGAAGATGTTATAGAAAAGCGAAATAGGAATAAGGGATATTTGCTGAAAATGATTGCGCAGCCACATGGCCTAGCTTATTTTAATGCATTTGCATATCTCGCATACAATAGTTTATAGTTTAATAGTATTCATCATGTAGAATTCAAATACGCCTGGTTTTCGTTAGCACACAGCGCCTTGAGGAAGGATAAGCCCAAAAGGATATTAACAAAAGGACAGCCAGCTGCAGCTGTATACGGTTATTCAGAGCCAGGCTCTGGATAACGTTGCTAACATTGTTGTTTCGGCTCAGCCAAAAAGTTACGAGCTGCCGTCAAGCGCGAGCAGATGACGTGACCCTGCGGCAACCCGCCATAAATTGGCGACAGTTCGGCGGAAAACGTCGGCGCACGGTGGTCCATATGCGAGTATGTCAATTAAGGTCCAGCAGCCGCTGATTTATGCAATTGCCAGCGGCTCCGCTCAAGAGCAATCTAAGCCAACCCCCCAACCCCATTTCCTCTCAACCCTCACTCTGAAAACGTATTCGAAGTTAGCCAAAGCCGCGACGAGCTGGCGGGGGCCACTTCCTTCCGTTACAGTGGCTCACAAAAAATACCACCAAAATAAGAATTAAATACGAAATATTTTTTATTCATGTTCTCGGACAGTGAAGCCCGCTAATTGGCGGACGTCGCGTACGGTGCGTGCCCCAAAACACAGACTCGATAATAACTTCTTCAACGAGCGCCATGAAGTGAAATTATTCGGGTAAACATGCACGCTAATTACAAAGCCTCAAACGATCTTCACATCAAAAATAAACCAACAAAAAAAATAAATAAAAAACAGACCCAAAAAAATCAGTAAGAGTCAACGGATGGGTTAGCCGAAGATGGGATACGCTTACATTTGGTTCGTTTACTTTAATTTATTTCTTACGCTGATTACGATTTATTTCTTGCTTATGAATTTGTGTAAAGCATTTTTGTATTTTGTTGAAATGTATTTAAACCCATTCCATGATTATTTGAATGCATTTTAGTTTATTTTTGCTCGTAAAACAACTCAAATTAAGATTTTACATCAATCCTTTCAATAATTGGGTTTATTAATTAAGGTTTATTTTCAACTTCAATTAATTGTTTTTTTTTTTACTAATATGCAGAGAATTATTGTCTTCTGGGTATAATTGTATTTAAGTGTCGAATATAATTCAAATTGAATTCCAATAATTTAATAGATATTGTAATGAGGGGACAATATTAATGCTAGACACGATATTTAATATGTTAGCAATGTATATATTAATGTACTTCAATAAATGTCACATTTCTCGGCACATATTTGTGGTATACCGCGGGCAAGTGTATGGCAAGGAAGCAAACAAAAAAAATGTAAGCAAAATGGATATGATATTTTATGAATCAATTCAGAAGAGCGCCAAGTGGACCACCGTCGCTGTCGCTGTCGCTGTCAGCGTTAGCGTCGCTGTCGGCGTCAGCAGCGACGCCAGTCGCCAGGCGCTGGCACACGAATATCGCCAACGTCGTCGTGCAGTTAGCGAATGAGCCACTTAAAGAGCCACAAATAATAATAACGACTTTAACGACAAGCAGCAGCAGCAACAACAACAAGAACAAGACCCACGCCCCTTAAACCCAGCCCACTCCCCGCCGCAACCCGCGCCGCCACAACGCTGCACAGTTGGAGCCACACAACATGCTGCAGGGTCTGCCAAAACAAAGTTGAGGTCTTCGCGTCCGCCCGCTTATGACTTGAAGTGAGCTTTTTGATTATGACGAGAGCTGGCCACATGATAATAATGATCATAATGATCATCATCATAATGGAGCTGGAGCTGGAGCATGTGAGGCCTCGCCTTAACAAGCCCAAACGAACAGGTTTATTATGATATAAGATATTTCGCACACACACACACACAATGCCCCTCAAACTGTAAACGAGCCTGCGAAAATCATAAAGCCAGCATCCTCTTCTGGCCATGGATACTGTTCCGATTGATACTTGGCATTCTTATGTGATCCTCTGACTCTGGCACTTCTCGACTGCAAAATACCCTGCACCAACTACCAACTCTTGCCCTGTTGCAGTAACAGAAGAAACGAAATGATCAATGAGGTTATAAAGGCTATAGATATATTTATACGATTCTATGGAAGAGTGTGAAAGATGGAAAAGCTGCCTGGGGCCATACGTCCAGTAAAAGGAAACTTTATACTAAATTTGCAAAATCTAGCTCATACAGATCCTGGGATCAATGATATCAGAGAGATCTTGTGCAATACATTAGTTCCTTTCGATAGGATTGTATGGCAGAGCGTGAAAGATGCTTATAAGAAATGATGTATTAATTTCTCAAGAGCTAGTCCATGCCGATCCTGAGATCAATGAGGTAATTAAAGTAATAGATAAATTAGAGGGATGCTATGGGATAGTATGGAAGATAAAAACCAAACTTATCCCGAGATCTCTCGCTATTTTAGTTATAATAATATTCTTTTTATTAGGATTGTATGTGTGAGTATAAAATTTTACAGAACTGTTATACGTCAGCTCACAAAAAACTATTCCGAATTTTTAAAAATCTAGACCATACAGAACCTGGTAGCTTGTATAATATTTTATTGTTACTTTCGCTAGGCTTCTATGCGAGAGTATTAGAAATAAAAAGCAGACAATTTTTAAAAGAAAAACAATTTGCTAGAGATTAGTTTGCACAGGTTCCCCAGATGGGCGGTACTTGGATATTGATTGATGACAAACTGGCAGCGAGTCGGACACCTGCAACTGAAATGCGGCTGTCAACAAATATTTGCACCTTCGACGCCTACGTAATCGCCGATTCCCGCCGGGCATTGCAGCGACAATCTCACACCTCAACACGTAGCAGGCTAATACACACAAGCACGCACAAACACACCTAAACACACACACACTCGCGCGTTTACACACATTAATTTGCATAATCAGCTATAAAGGCGCCAGCTCAAGCGAGAAATTTGCAACGCTTTCAATGCCATGTCAATCACAAAAGGAATCCCAGACTCGAATGTGTACAAAATTTCGTTTGTTTTCCCCTTTCCAATTCCATTAAGAATTAAATGTGAAAAATTTAACGCAACTCTCTATTCAGCTGAGCTTAGATATCTGTGCGTCGAACTTACAACTGAGCAGTCGCCGGTTCAACTTTCGCAAATTGTAAGTTAAATTTGTTATTCCTCACACATAGAATATGCTAGTTGACACTACTAATATGTTCTACATTTCACAGGCGCAGAATGAAACCCAAGCATCCTGTCACTGGTTGGAAGCAGATTCCTAATGGGAAATATATGTGAGAGCGCTTGGAATTATAACATAGTATATTCTTGATTTCTGAGATATGTTTTTAATGCTATGAACCCAAAGAAACATTGTTCCCTTCTTTCCCCAAATCTGGGCTCGACGGAGAATCTTCGACGGCAGCAATAACTGGATCCTTGCGAAAATATAAAACTTATATAATATATATAAAAAAACAAGTCAGAGGAGACTTTAACTGTACAATTTTTCTCATCCTTGTTTTACAATAAAATAAAATGGCTACGACTTATTCCTTTAAACGCCCAAGGAACCCAATTGAATTAAATTATTAGCGGGCAAAATAGTGAAAGGTATATAATATATTCAGATTTTGCCAAGAAATATCTATTTTTTTTCCATTTATCCTGTTGCCTTAAGACACGTTGTTGCGCTCCAATCTGACCATAAAAAAATCGGTTTAGAACTTGGTCTCAGTCACGGTTTCGGCTTCAGCGTTGGCTTCGATTTCGGTCTTTAATGGCCATCTCAATAGACCCATCACAGCCGCGCGTAATAAACTGCACGCACGCACAGTCGACACCAACTGGCCAGATTATGATGGGTCACGAGGGGTTAGGTGGGGGGAATGGGGGGGGGGGGGGGGGGCGCAGTGAGTAGCTGGAAGTCTGGAGGCCAAAAGGTGCAGCATCCGTTCCATCTCTCTCTGGTCATCATCTAATCAAAATCAACGATCATCGCGTTGAAAGCCCTTAAAATGGGCAACGCACGCGGCTGTCATGTAGGTCGTGCCCCGCCCATAAAACTTCTCGTTCTCCCCCTCCTCCACAAGCTACGCCTGCTGCTGTTGCCGAAAGGGGGGGGGGGGGTTAGCCCGCTAGCTGGCACATCCGAATTGGGTTGGAGCTGTTGTCGGTTGCGTGCTTGGGTCATTTGTAACACCTGACGGCTGATTATACAAATCTTTGATTTGAAACATTATAATTAACATAAGCTGAGGCGTGCCTCGCCAGTTCCCAATCGGGTATCATTGATTGGACGAACAATTTGGCACAAGCGATTGAGGGGAAACCCGTGTTTCCCCCCTTCTAATAACCACACATAATTGGGGACTCGACGGCTTAACTATTTGGTTAGATGCGATCCGAGTTGGCGAGGTGTATACATGAATATCGATTGCTAATTGTTATCGATTAGCATCGATAGTCTGCAGAGGGTGTCGCCAGATTGATTAGCAGAGGTGGCTGGCATGATGCAAGTTGAATATAGAGAAGATATAGAAAAGTTGACTGAAGTCGACTAAATCGAATGGGACGGGTAGATGACAATTTTTATCGATTGCTATCGATTGTCTATGGGAACTTGAATAGTGGTCGTAGCTGGGATGACGAGGAAATATGAGTGGGATAATAAAAAGGATACTTAAATAAATCTGACTGTGGTTTGACTTGCAGGTGGCTGTATGGACATAGATATCGAATGCCAATTGATATCGATAAATATCGATAAGGCACAGACAATGTCGGAAATTTTGCTAGTGGAATGAGAATATATATACTAATACAGTGAGGTTAGCCTTGGTGAAAGCTAAATATATCGGATGCCAATCGTTAGCGACAAATATCGATAGGGATCTGACAGTTTTGGGAATATCGGGGACCAAGTGTTATCGATAAATATCGATAGATAGTGTCAAGATATTGAAGATATGTGTTAAAAGGTGATAGAGTAAGCTTGTATGAATTTAGCCCGTTTTGGGTGAGTAGAATGAATAATACAGGGTTAGGGGAGTTTTGATAGAGTCGAACGAACTGCGGTGGGGTGAGTTTGTCGACATGAATTATACTTTTAAATAGGGTAGGAAATAAAAGCAAGCTTGCAGATAGATCAACCAGCTTAAAAAAAAAACCTATGATACAAGAGAGGCAGCGAGCGAAAGAAATCGAATCGCAAAAGAAAAAATTGTCAACATTTGGCGATTGTTGTTTGACCCAAGCGACGAATTTCTGCAATGTCCAGTGGCCAGCGGCGGCATGAGGCAATTGCAACAACGAACAACAACAATGTCTATTGAAGCAGTACGCAGATGGAGGCAGGGTTGTTGTTGTTGTCGGGAGACTGTGCAGAGATTGGAGACTCGACAGCAGTTTGGCGGAGCGACGCGAGTCGAGGCGTGCGGGCGGGCGGTCGGTCGGTCGGTCGGTCGATTGGTCGATTGGCCACCCACGCCGCCAACGGGGCGTATGAAAAACAATTTTCGAGCGGCTTGTGCGATGCGATGCTACAACAATAAAAGCGCCCAATGTGGTTGTTGTCGTTGTTCGTTGTCGTTGTCGTTGTTGTTGTTGTTGTTGTTGCTGCTGTTGTCTTTCAACATTTCGACTTGTTGTGATTATGGCGGGCGGCCGTCATCATCGTCAACGTTGTCGTTCGCTCGCTCGTTCGTTGATTTCATAATCTCTTCCGTTGCCATTTGCTTGTAGCTGGTTGTTGTAGCCGGTTGTTGTTGTTGTTGTTGTTGTTTTTGTAAATTTGTGGGTGACCGCGCACTCTCTAAAAACGTCAATCACTCAATTAAACTTAATTATAATTGCGAAGCGATGATGGCGGGCGGCCAGTTTGTTGAATAAATTCAGAAAAGAACTGAAAACTCAAAACTGTGGGCAGACACGGACCAGGCGGCTGGCTAAGGGCTAGCTGAGCAATAGAGCGAGCGAGAGAGAGCGACAGGCAGAGGGAGAAACAGAGAGAGAGGGAGAGGGAGAGAGAGAGAGAGAGAGGGAGTCGGAAAGAAAGGCAAGGGATGTGCAGAGCGAAGATCGACTTTGTGCCGCGACTTGCAGCACTTTGTTGCTCCTCGTTGAGATTTCAAGAAATTCGCAGAAAATTGTAAATGCACGACGCTGGACGTTGGACAATGATGATGATGGCGACGCTGGCAACCGACGCCGTCGCCGCCACCTCCACCTCCTCCAGCACCAGCACCAGCACCAGCACCAGCACCAGCACCACTTTGGTGGTTTCAAATTTTGCCTCGTTGTCTGTGGCTCGCATTTTGTTTTCTGTTGTTATTTTTTGTTTTTGATTGGCCTGGCCTGAGAAAATGAAAGACCACAAGAGAGCAGAGCTTACATGATGTTGTCGCGTTATGCAAAATGCTTTAACCAGTCAAAGTTCCCCCTCACCACCACCTCGCCACCCACTCTGAGCTCCCCCCGTTTAGCTCGCTACCCTTCAGGGCAGCAGCCCCTGCTAACCCAGCTACACCTACCGCTCCCACGCTTGAGCTGAAGGCGCCCACCCAGAAGACGAAACGATGTGGCCAGTGGCTGCACCAGTGTCGAGCATGGGGGGGTGGGTAGGAGCAAGGGGGCGGAGGCGTGCCTTGACAGTTGAAGAAGCTTGAGACCGGAGTACTTTCACCTAGACAACAGACGAAGCATAACCCTCGCGCCTTTGACTGCGGCCACGCTTGAAGATCGCTTGGCACACTGTGACAAAATATGGTTGTGAGTGGAGTGGAAGAAGACAAGTGGCATGGGCAGGGGGGGAAGGGGGAGGCGTGTGTGTGTGTGTGTGTGTGGATTGGGTAGGGGCTACGCACTTGCACAACGCAATGCATTGTCTACGCCAGTCGCATGGAAAATCTCTCTCAATTATATAAAAAGAGGCGACGCAATGTGTGGGCGTTAACTGCGTCGGCCACTGGAGCGATACACGAAACTGGACAAGATGGACGCACCGGACAGTGGACAGCGTATAGGGGACAGCGGAGAGTGTAGAGTGGAGAGGGGAAGCAAGCTGGCGATCAACGGAGCGGTGCCTTCGACCATTGTCACATATTTTTACGCATTTGCGATTTGTGGCAAGAAATTTGCAATGTTGTTGCTGCTGTTGCACGGCTTGTTTATAATTAGGGGGCGGTTCGCTTGTCGTTTCGTCAGTTGACAAACTGTTGGGCAATTTGTGGCTGGGTATTTCAAAATTGGCATTATAATTGCAATCGCTGTGCCACAGCAGGCAAACAGCTGCAAATGAATATGCAACAAATTTGTGCATAGTATCGCGAGCTTGGAATCTGTTAATATCTAAAAAATCTGCCTGGAATTGCTTACGCATCTTGCAACTATGCAACGCACTTTGAACCGAATCAACCGACGACAAAATAATTGAACCTTAACCGAACGGAACACTATGTTTGTTTATTTCCTGAAATCAAGCTAATATTCATATAATCAAGTTACGCTCCACAAGTTGGCCTCAAATGTGTGTAAAACTAGATTCACAAATCCAGCCTCAAAGCGAGACTTCGTTTGGGAATGATAATCGAACTATTAAGACCAACCAACCCATTGAAAGTTGCTAAAAAAAAGGGTCTCTTGTTTTTGTGCTTACGTATGCAACAATACATATATAATAGTCGAGCTGATCTGCCCTTCTTTCCATACGCTAAAAGCTAGAGACTTGAATGATGTCAAAGTCAGGGGCTTGATATGTATATTAAATTTACATTTGGCATGGAACAAAGGGACAGAGTACCGGCTAGCAGGTACAATAGGTATGTTTAGCTGGGAACAGGGTATCGCCGAGTCGGGCGCACTCTTACCTTTAATAAGTCTGTTTGCAAAAGCGACTAGAGGGCTTCTGTGGCTCTGCCCATTGATGTTTTCTTTACGGATTGAAATCTGCACAGCTGTCTCTGGAGCCAGTTATATTTGGGCCTGGGATTGAGTTGATATGCTTATGTGGGTATTGAGCTGCATTATGGGGGTGTGTGTGTGCGTGTGTGTGTGTGCACTGATAGTTTCAACGAATTTGCCGCCCGTACTCGAGGCAGTCAAGTAGATTTAATTGCTGCTAGCCCTCAATTTCATTTAATACGAAATTCCATTTTCCCATTTTCTCTCATCGTTTGTTTTTATTATGTTCGTTTTCATTTTCATTTCTTCTTTATTTTCATTTTTTTTTTTTTGTGTTCACTTCTCAATTTCATTGATTTCAATTGTTGCATTGCGAAAAACTATCGATTACAATGCGCTGGCCAAAACAAAGGATGGGCATCGATTGCGGGGGTTGGGCCCAGGCACGACGCACAATGGCCCAAATCGTTTAGGGCCATTAAGTGCGCCTCAGCGCAAACGCATTTGTTTGCCCAAAACTAGATCAGCTCACTCCCCCCCCCCCCTCCTCGTCCTCCTACCCATCCCGCTATATCGTGCGCTCTCACTCGCACGCATTCGGCTTAGCTGGCACTGGTAATCGATATATATTTGCGCATCTTTTGTTAT